TTTACTGGCTTGTGCCAGAATCTATTATTACTATTATTATTATTATTATTATTATTATTATTATTATTATTACATTTATTATTTTACTCTCATTATTACTGGAAGGATATGTAAGCACATTTACATTGAAGAATGTGAGAATAATGGTTTCATCAGAGCTGGGGAATCTTATCTTAAATTACAGTTTTATGTAAATATCCATAAACATTTAACTTACTGATGCCTCGATTAACGTAATTGTATAGGTATCGATTTTTGTTTTGAAATTCACCAGTAGCTGGTGCATTTCCCACCCTCGGCTTATAATCAAGTCAATCCATTTTCCCAGGTTTTTGTGGTAAAAATAGGGGCCTTAGCTTATATTTGGGTCAGCTTATACTTGAGTATATATGGTAGCTTCCTGAAAATATGGAACCCTTCCTCATCCTGAATCAAGCCATTGGTTATATTGTTTCCGAGCTTGTAGTTTAAAATAGCAGGACTTAGAATCTCTCCGTCAGTATAAGTGCTGAAAGATTCTGAGTGTTATATTTCAAAGAGCTGCTTTCCCATCCTCTCTTTCTCTTTCACACATTTCCTCGCAGACATCCAAACACATTTAACATAATTTTGAGGTGTAACCAGAACTGTGCTTAAAAACCAAGGCCTTGGCTTCAAAAAGAAGGTGGGTGGAAAAAGCAAATGCTGACAGTAGGCCAACCTTTGAAGGAGAGCAGCTGCTCAGATTTCACAACTAGTCTGTCCTGTCATCAGCCAGAATGAAAAAGAAAGGGGTTAACAGCAGCAATGTTTATAGATTGACTCAGATACTGGAGACCTTCCCAAGCGGAAAAAATATTGACACAGTCTCCTTGTTATCCTGGTCTTCTTTAACTTCAAAGTTTTTAAGTTGCGTTATCTACATGTATATGACAGGCAGCTGTTCAAACTAAACTGGAATGCATCCATCTAATGGCAAAGCATCATTCAATAATACAGAATTAGGGGTTGTTGGTTTTTTTAAAAGAGGAGAGTTAAACAATGAACTGTCCCATCTGAGAAAATATCAAAAATTGTAAAGTAGGAATTTAGAATTCCATTGTCAAAATTTTCCAAATTCTACAACCAAAGTGCCCCATTTCTTATTACTGCAGGAAATAACAAAAGCTGTGAATTTCCCACTAAATCTATTGTGCAATGGTGTCAAACTTGTTGCCCTCCATGTGAAAAGAAAAAAAATCACAACCAATGATAAATATGGAGTGGAAGGTTGGCATATACAGGTGAAATTTAGTGAAAGGCAGATGGCTTTTAGAGAACTGGCAGTGATTAGTAAGTAAAGCAGTGAATGTATTTTTAAATTTATCCTCAACCAAAGTAACTAACCTAAGTACTGAATGTACTGATGATATTCAGCACCTTGAACAGCTTATTTAAAGTTTGGATAAAAACTTGGAGTAGATTTATTGCCCCACTAACATTAGAGACAGTTGCTAATGGCAGCACATTAATTTTTTTATATTCCTGAAAATGACTGAAATGTCTATGTATTAGCCTGGTTTTATTTTCCTATTAGCAAAATACCTTGAGGTTTTTAAATATGCTTTGAGAATTTCTATCTGAACATAAATAATATGCACAAACTACAAGGATAACTAGAATCGGCATATTCCACTTTCAAATAGTGTTTTATAAAGCAGTTTTGTTATATGTTTTCAACATCAGGGCTATACTTGTGTTCACCGTAATATGATCAGATAAGCTAACTGTAGCTGGGGTTGCTTCCAGACAGCAATTTAATGCGGGTAAAAAAATGGGTGAAAGTAACCCACTTTCGGCCGCATTGCTGTCTCCACACTTTGCCCCAAAACCCAGGCTTTCCCGGGGAGTATACATTGCCACCTCCTGGAATGTCATTTCTATGTGCCAGAGGAGTGGCATGGGAGCCCGGTAAGTTTTGTTTTATTTTAAAGGCCTTGGGAGGGGGATTGGGGAAGGGGGTGTCCTCCTCGGTTCTCCAGGCTTTTGGAAGCCCGAAGAACTGAGACGGGCTGTGGGATTGATCTCTGGAACTACAGAAGCAGTCCTGTGGGTCAGTCCCCACAGGCCCCATACTCATTAAACCAGGCCTTTCAGGAAGGTCAGGTTCTAATGGAATATCAAACTAACTGGGGACAATGCAGAGTTTACCTGCGTTGTCCCAAATTAATCCTCTTTTAAAAGATGCCTTTGGTAAAAGCCCAACAGGGCCCGCATTTTGGGCCCTGTCTGGAAGTGCCCTGGCTCTCACAACAATGTTTCAGCTAAAAAAAGAAAGGAAAAAAAACATGAAAATGAACAAAATCTGGCTACCAGTATTTAAAAACTCTAAAATTATAACAACAAAACAACACCCAAACATAAGGAAACTCTAGAGGGGAAACAATCAGGGACAGCTAATCACCTCTCTCACAAAAAAAAAAAAAAAATTCCCTCAGGCACTAACAAGCCACACCAAAAAAAACTGCCAGGCCATCAAATGCTAATCAAGGTGGCCAGTTGAAACATTCACACCTAGCTCCAACAGACAAGAGTTCTTTGTCCCACCCTAGACATTCCAAAGATATATAAACCAAATTTTCCTAGTTCCAAAAAGCCTCACAACATCTGAGGATGTCTGCCATAGATGCAGGCAAAAAGTCAGGAGAGAATGCTTCTGGAACATGGCCATACAGCCCGAAAAACTTACAACAACCCAGTGATTCCAGCCATGAAAGCCTTCGAAAATACAAAGGAAAAAATATTATTTTTAAGCAATAATCGAGATTATAAATACTTAATCGTCTGAATAAGCATTGGCTGAATATCCTGGTAACAAACAGAGGAGGCTCAAACTCTTTTGGCATCAGCAATTCTAAGCTTTTGTGTATTCCCTAAAAAACTGAAAAGGAGCAAAGCATTTTAAAAGGTTAGAAAGACTTGTAAAATGCACACTCTAACTAAGTTCAGCCCTCCCTTTTTTGTACATCTGACAAAAAGGGAAATAGAAAAAATTGGCAACCTCAATCAGGTTCTGTGGATCATAAACACCCCCACTCTAGTGTTTACATTCCCTTTACTCAGATCTTGTGGGAGAAATCTCTTGTTTTTCCTTTGTTGTTGTTGTTGTGTTTCCCTGCATTGATTATTATAGTAGTTCTTTGTCTCTGTGCACAAGCTTGTGCTCAATACTGTTGAATTTAGGATTCTGATCCCATTTCTGTCACCAGTTACTTTTGCTTCTTATCTGTCCTTAACTGTTTGATGAGTTTTATCTGCCATCCACTCAGGCTTCTATTTCTTTTTGGATGCAAATAATGTCTTTTTTCATTCCTCCCTAATTTTTGCTCAGTGTTCTTCTGTTTCCCAGTCAGTTAGGCCTAATACTACAAATCTGAGTTGCATTATTTTAAAATTCCTCAGAGAGGCATTTTTCAGGTTGTATTTCATTCTATAGTGTAGTGTTCTCTAACTTTTTTTTTTTTATTCTTGGTCTGTGGCACAAATTGCTTCTGCTTATGAGATCTATTCGATTTCCATATTGCTTATAAGGTGATGTCCATGCATGAAGTCACTGTTTTGGTTGCTTGAAGAATGTATTTGCAATGAACAATCTGTTGGCCTTGCAAAAATAGGTCTGTTCCCTTTAAAAAAATTGATCATAAATCAGATTTTCCTACATTCTGCCTTGTTTCCTACTTTTGTATTTGAGTCACCTATGATTAGCAAGTCTGATTGAAGAACATTTATTCCTGGACTTCTACACAGAATGTTTCAATTTATTTTTCTTCTGCCTTCTAGTTGGAGCATAAATATGGATTATGGTTATACTGATGGGACCTCTGAATTCCTGTAGCAATTATTCAGTCTGATTTGGCATTATATCTTTGCTTTTGCAGCACCTTTCCTATTAATGTCATCTAATTTCTTCTTAGATTTTCATTTCCTAATTAAAACACTATGGACTCAAAATATCACATTTCTGTCATTTAGTTTGCTGACCCTAAAGTGCTGAAATGTCTATATGTTCCATTTTTTAATTTTTGATTCATACTTCTCACACATCATATACATGATGAATACATGAACAGGTGAACATCGTTTCATCTTGAGTCCAGCTATGCCATTAGCCAAAGTGCCAGTCATACCTCTATTTGGCTGAACCCCAGTAGCTTGTTGAGTGCTTTCTGACTTCACAGTGTCATCTTCTGACTCTATCTCCTAGATGAAGCATATGGTTTCCATGGTAAAAGCTTTACCATGCCTTCTTCTGCACAGTACTAACACGTCTCAGATATTTCTGTTTATTTTATGATGGCACTTCTGTCATCCCTGAGAGATCCTCTGTCAATGTCTGTCACACTGCACTACTGCTGCTGCTACTATCTTTTGGCACTTTTAATCTGGGTCCTCCCTGAATGCTTTTCTGACAGGGGAGACTCTATCAATAAGCCTATCACCACAGAAAGGTAGTACCATGGTGGAACATCTCCACATACCGAATCTCATTGGCTACACTGAGCGGTGACATCATCTCATTCCCTTAGTAATCTAAAATTTAGGCTGGATCTATACTGTCCTATAATCTGGTTTCAGAATGTGGATGAACTGCACTAAACTAGATTACATTCTACACTACCCTATAATCTAGATCAATGCAGTTCATCCACATTCTGAAACTGGGTTATAGGGCTGTGTAGATCCAGCCTTAATTGGACTGGTCACGGAACTAAGCCAAGAGGCACTGTTCTAGTTCTAAAATGTCTCTGAGTCCCATTAATAAAAATCTGATCTCCTACATGTTATTAGTATGGAATGACCTTCACTAACTAGTCTGTCTGGAACTTAAAACACTGTGTAATAACCTAAAGGGCTAAAACAGTGGTAGATGTTGGCAATGATGGTGTCAATATTGACCGAGTAGAGAAATGAGAGTACAAAAATGAGAGCATTCAAGAATTACTTTATTTTCATACGTTTAATGAAAATATTCCACACCTGAAAGGTGAAAACAGTCTATTCAGAATGATGCTGTTATTTACAAAATTGTAGAACAAAACACCAATTGCACCTGTTCCCATCTGTCCCTTGGTGAATGAACTTCACAGTGCAAAATGCATTATACAAAATTCCTTCTGAATCACAATCTGTGGGTCCCACATTTTAATGGATATATGTCAGAATTTATAATGAGTACTCATAAAAGAGTCAAAAGATACCAAAATCCACCACTAGGCAGATTTTCTAAAGGAAATGTGTGGGTTATAGTCAAAACAAATAGTCAAAAGGGGGTCCTTCTCACTACTCTCTGTATATATTTATGAATACTAGAAGTCAGGATTATAAAAACACATTTATTAAAAAGATAGTGGTTTTCTATCCATAGATAGAATATCAATATTAGGATTACTTACCCAGTCCACTAAATACTTATATTGCATAATTGGAAACATAGAACAATACATAGACAACTAGACATTCAAACATTCAAAATCTCTTGGGCTATTAGATAAGAATGGCTGAAGTGCAGTTCACTGACTACACACAGCCTTTGTGGCTCCTAGAACCACCTTTTAAAATAAGCCCTCACGCTTCTAGGAGGCACAAGATCTGATGACCACATGGTCCATAGGGGCTGTGCTGTTGCGTGGTGCACCATGTGCCCTCCCTACTTCCTCCATCTCATGGTGGGGATGGGACAGGTTGCATTGGCACCCTGTCCCCATCAGATGAGAGAAAGGGTGGTAATGCATGTTGCTCTGCCCCCTTTTCCCCATCATATGGGGAAAAGTGGAGGAGAGTGGTCCATCAGAGCTACCCCAAAACACTTTCCTCTCCATGGTGAAGGGGGAAACACATTTTGATGTTTCCCCTCCACTTTGGAAGGATTGTGGGTGGGGCCTGCTGTGCATCATACGCTATTTGTAATTTGCCTGCCATAACCACCGTGACATCAAAATGATCAGTTCAAGAGCAGATTTCTGGGGCTTGGGTTGAGTTTAGTGGAGACTGTTTATTTCTCCAAAAATCTCTATTTGTTTCAAGAGGAGCTCACACAAAAGAAAATCCTTAGGGAAACATGACTGTTGACATTGGAACTAAACCCTAATTTTATGTGAACACCTCTGTCACTGTACAGATCCATTATTGCTGCTAACAGAGACTCAGAGGAAATCATTTGTGGTGTTCTTGAACACAAAAATTGGCATGTTTCAAGGTTTTTTTGTTTGTTTGTTTGTTTTTTGGAGAAAACTATTTTCTAACAAGGTCTTGATAGAAAAGACATACACATAGAATTAAGGATTTTGTGTCAATAACTTGATATGAATACCAGAATGAAGCAGTATTCATAGTCATTCCATATGAAAATTCACTTTGGGTTATTGCGGACTTTTTCATGTTAGTATAGGACAAGAGAAAATTCTTTGGTTGTTCTAAGACAGTGGTTCTCAACCTCTGGGTGCACAGATGTTTTGGCCTTCAACTCCAAGACATATTAACAGCTGGTAAACTGGCTGGGATTTCTGGGAGTTGTAGGCCAAAACATCTAGGGACCCACAGGTTGAGAACCACTGCTCTAGGAGTTAAATAATTGGGAGTTAGGAACCCTTGCCAATTTGCCAGAAATCATACTGGAATCCAACTTTTTGCATCATGAAATGGTTCTCAAAATTTGGTCCTTCAGTTGTTTTTCCTTTCTGTTTCCAAAATCCTGACATTGGTTGTGATGACTGAGACTTTTGAAGTTTACATTCAAAAATATCTGGAGGAACAAAGACTGAGAAATACTGAACTACAGAGTGCCTTAATAAAAACACAACCGTTTTGAAGGGGAGGGGGAAGAGAAGCAGCTTTTACAGCCAGTGATTCATACAAATCAGGAAAGTCAATTTCATAAAGAAAAAGAATGAGTAAATATCAAGAATATTTTCAAAACCAATAACTTCTTTCTTAACACAAAATGGCAGCAGTTCCACAAGAAGAGTATAACTACTGAAAGCTCTGAATAGAAAGAGAGTAGTGGTATAAAAGTATCCTCATCAGAAGGCATTTTTCAACAGACTGTCCATGTACTTGCACTTAGGTAAAGATGAGAGACATGTGTTCAGGTATGCCATATTTTTCTTTGTTTTTGTCAAATAAGTTTTGTAGTTCCTGCAGATATTTCTCATGCAATTGATCAATCTCTTCGAGGGTGGGATTGAGGTTCTGCTTCACAATGATAGGATTCCCAACTATGAAGTAACAAAAAAACAATCAAAATTATATTACTAGAGAGAATGCCTCTAGAACATGGCCATATAGCCCAAAAAAACCTACAACAACCCTATATTACTTCTATTTTTATCTGTAGAAATGAGGGATGGGGTGCATGTGGTCCTCCATGTATTGGACTGTGGCTCCATTGCAATCACAGTAGAACTAATATAGCTATGGCTGATGAGAATTGCAAACCAAAAACCTCTGGAGAGATCTCTCATTCTTTGCCCATAGTTTACATACTCTGCTTCTAGAACAACATCTACACTGTATAATCAATGCACTTTGACTATATTTTAAATGTCATGACTCAATACTATGGAATCAGGAGTACTGTGGTTTTGCAAAGTCTTTATCCTTCTTTGTCACCAAAATGCCAATCCTGTGATCCTATAGCATTTAGCCATAGCAGTTAAAGTGTTGTCTAAGTACAGTATAGATTCAATTCTACTACTCTATGGGTGAGCAATGTGAGATTTCCCCAGAAGTTGTTGGGTTGCAACTCAGCTCTGCCCTAGCTGCAGTAATTGTCCTGTGAAAATGCAATTTATGTCAAGAATTTCAGCATTACTGTTGGATTTTGTTTTAATTAAATTGGCATTCTCAGCCTTTCCCTTCATTCCTGTTTCCCATGAAATACATGCAAAGAATTATCTAAGGCAACACTTTCTATATGGGGCTGCCTTTGAAGATAGTTTTGAAGCTCCAAATTGTCCAAAGATAAGCAGCCAGGTTGCTAACTTGTTAAAGGAAGACCAGAATGATTTCATCCATCACACATTGTTAGCATTTCCTAACCTTTTTTTTTCAACTGATTTAATTTTTAAAGGTTCAAGTTAGCAACTTAAATAAGCAGCTCTACCCCAAAAGACTCTTGCTGGTGTGATTTTAATTAACAATAACAAATAAATGCACTCATTATTTTAGAATAGATTCTGGTCTTTTGCAATAGCATTCACTTCCTTTCTCAGCTTCCTTTGCCCAAGGAGTTCAAAATGGTACTTAAGAGATGTTAAGTAAATTAAACCTCTCAACATCCTCACATTATACTGAAAGATGTAGCAGAAAAATGCGGTATATTAGAAGAGCACTTCTCTTTATCAGCTACTGAGCCCGAAGTGGTTATTCGGTCCTTTCTCCCTATCACTTCTTGCAAAAGAGCTTTGGAGCTCTCTTCTGGCTCTTTAAGTACTATTGAGAGAACGGTTTTACAAGATCTTAACAAAAGAGCCTGTGGTTAGAAGTTTGTAATTTGAAAAAAACATGAACGCAGTGAACTCAACACATTATCCAGGTCCTTCAAGATCCAATTGTGAAATTACTCTTCCCCCCCCCCCCCAACATACACTCACACTCCTGCATTTAAGGCTTGTCCAGATGTTTGAAATGACTGCTATAGTAATAAACTGGAAGTGGGGAAAATATTTGCCCAGAAGCACCAAAAACTTTTCATTACCACTTGAAAATGCATCAAGTGCCCCCCCCCCCCACATGTCAGGAGCAATTTGAGAAACTGCAAGTTGCTTCTGGTGTGAGAAAATTAGCCATCTGCAAGGACATTGTCTAGGGGACGCCCGGATATTTGATGTTTTACCATCTGTGGGAGGCTTCTCTCACATCCCCACATGGGAAACTAGAGCTCGACAGACGGGAGCTATAGAAGTAATGCACTTTAATTGTCATGGCTCAATGCCATGGATTTCTGGGATTTATTAATTAGTGAAGCAGCAACACTTTTTGGCAGAGAAATTTGAAGGCATTGTAAAACTCTAGCTCCCGTGATTCCATAGCATTGAGTCAAGGCCGTTGAAGTGGTATCCAACTGCACTGATTTTATAGTGTGACCTGGATAGTAATTATCCCATCTCTTCTTCACAGTAACCTTCTGGAACATGGCCATACAGTCTGGAAAATTCACAGCAACCCAGTGATTCCAGTCATGAAAGCCTTTGACAACACAGAAAAGTAGATGTTGCATTTTAATATGTTGCTGTTCATTGACGCAGACCATGAAGAGGCAGGTAAGAAGTAACCATAATCATCACAAAATGTTTTAAAAGACACCGAATGTCATTTTCAAAAAATTCTTCTCTTTTAACATGGTTGCACAGAAAATGCTATACAAAAGATTATTGGTTAGGGCTCACACAGCCACAAATGCATATATTTAAAATGTGCACATATGGAATCTAAAGTTGCAAACTCTACTTACCAACAGTATGGATAGGTTTCCTATAAGGCATTAAGCCAAAACTATATTGAAAGATCCCTCTGCCATGAAACAGTGGCATAGCAAATCCCATAATTTTCTGCAATTTCTCTTGCCATGTCCTGAGCCAGGATCCTTTTGGGTTGGCTATTTGCTTGAACAGTTCATTTTCACCAAAAGAAAACACTGGGACCAGCTGAGCCCTTTCAGGAAAAAACAAAACACAATAGGCTCTACTGGTGCAATTCACATCAATGGTTTGAGAACTAAGTCAAGATAAAGTCAAGACAAAAAGAAGACTGTTACAGATAATCATGTTTAAATGCACCAAGTTCATAAAATTCCACTCTCATGCTGGATTAGACCTTTGTTTCTGAAAAGTAAACATTTAGCAATCTATAGACCTTAAGTAAAGTTTAACTAAGTATTATAACTGAACATCCATTTATCCAATTACAGTAGAGTCTCGCTTATCCAACCCTCGCTCATCCAATGTTCTGTATTATCCAATGCAGTCTGCCTCTTGCCCGGATCCACAGATGTTTCAACACATTACGATGTTTTGGTGCTAAATTCACAAATACAGTAATTACTACATAACATTACTGTGTATTGAACTGCTTTTTCTGTCGATTTGTTGTAAAACATGATGTTTTGGTCCTTAATTTGTAAAAACATAACGTAATTTGATGTTTAATAAGCTTTTCCTTAATCCCTCCTTATTATCTACTCCTTATTATCCAACGTTCTGGGAGCCCAGTTATGTTGGATAAGCGAGACTCTACTGTAAATGCAATATGGAGGGCCTACAACATTGTGCTTGACTATTGTAGAAAATAATGGGAATTAAATGTAGGACCATGGGAAACATGTCCAGTTTTTAGAATATAAGACTATTTGCCTTAGAGGAGGAAAGAGGAGAGCAATACTTGGCACCCCAATTCTTGACATTTCATATAATTTCATACTGAAATTTAATGTTACAAAATTTTGTCTGGGTTACTGGGCCTCTTTGCCATTACGTTCTTAAAACTTGCACCAAGCAGCTTCTACCACTTGTCAATGATGTCCAAATGTTCCCTTTGCTTCAATTTTGAAATCCCAAAGCTTGAGCCAAGCAAAGTTTCTGGAAACAAAAGGGAAAGAAACTTATGGCTGCTCCTCTCATCAGTATCCCCCCCCCCCCGCCCTTACCATAATGATATTTTGGAAACAAATAGCACTCCATTCTTACCTACCCTTATGAAGTTGGTTTCACATACTAAATGCAAGATATTCCACCTAGGCAGAAAAAAATGAAATGCAAAGATACCGAACGGGGGACACCTGTTTTAATAGCAGTAAGTGTGAAAAAGATCTTGGAGTCCTTGTGGACAACAAGTTAAACGTGAGCCAACAATGTCATGCAGCAGCTAAAAAAGCCAATAGGATGGCCATGTATCAATAAGAGTCCAGTCTCTAGATCAGCGGTTCTCAACCTGTGGGTCCCCAGGTGTTTTGACCTACAACTCCCAGAAATCCCAGCCAGTTTACCAGCTGTTAGGACTTCTGGGAGTTGAAGGCCAAAACATCTGGGGACCCACAGGTTGAGAACCATTGCTCTAGATCCAGATCCAGGGAAGACATGCTGCTCCTCTATTCTGCCTTGATCAGACCACACCTGGAATACTGTGAACAATTCTGGGCACCGCAATTTAAAGGAGGTGTTGACAAGCTGGAATGTGTACAGAGGAGGGTGACTAAAATAATTGAAGTTCTGGAGAACATGCTCTATGAGGAGTGGCTTAAGGAGCTGGGCATGTTTAGCCTGAAGAAGAGAAGGCTGAGAGAAGACATGATGTATAAATATCTGAGGGGAAGTCATAGGGAGGAGGGAGCAGACTTGGAGACTAGGACACAATGGAACAATGGCTTCAAAATGCAGAAAAGGAGATTCCACCTGAATATTAGGAAGAACTTCCCAAATGTGAGAGCTGTTCAGCAGTGGAACTCTCTGCCCTAGAGTGTAGTGGAAGCTCATTCTTTGGAGGCTTTTAAACATAGGATGGATGGCATCTGAGGGGAGTGACTTGAATTAAAATTTCCTGTTTCTTGGGGCCTTTCCAGAAAGGCTGTTATCCGAGGAGTATCTGCGTTTTTAAAAAGTTGATGTTCCCGGGGGCCTGCCCACACCCACCCCAGAAAGTGCACACTTTCTGGGGTGGGTGTCCAAATATTCTTCCGGGACTAGCCCAGCAAAATATCTGGAGACCCTACCACCCTCCCCCGAAGTCCCCAAACCCCCATGCAGGGAGAGCTCTGGCAACACTGTAATGGAGGTTGGGCAAGTTTACCATACTTTTGAAAGGGCTTTGGGGGCTTTGGAGGAGGGAGTTGGGATTCCCACAGTTTTTGGGACTAATTTAGTTTGGAAAAGTGTTGGAATGATGTCTGGACTGCAGTCCAGACACCAGAAGTAGTGAGTTTATTCCGCGCCTTCCAAGAAGGCACAGAATAAACCCACTATCTAATTAATTCGTCACCAGGGTTTTCCTGGTTTGTGGTGAATTAATAGCGGGTTGGCCAGAACGCCATCTGGACAGCCCCCTTTTTATTGCGGAAGTTTCTGCAATAAGGGGGCTGTCTGGATGGTCTCTTGGTAGGGGTTGAACTGGGTGGCCCAAGATGTCTCTCCCAACTCTATGATTCCATGATTCTATGACTTATGATAGAAATAAAATAAGGAATTCTTCAAGGAATTTTGTAAAACAATAACTCATTCTGAGTATGTACATAAAAGTCTGAATCCTGTTGGTTTCAGACTGAGAGGAGACATGATGGCCATGTATAAGTATGTGAGAGGAAGTCATAGGGAGGAGGGACCAAGCTTGTTTTCTGCTGCCCTGCAGACTAGGACACAGAGCAATGGCTTCAAACTACAAGAAAGGAGATTCCATCTGAACATAAGGAAGAACTTCCTGACTGTGAGAGCTGTTAAGCAATGGAACTCTCTGCCCGGTGTATGGTAGAGGCTCCTTCATCTGAGGCTTTTAAACAGAGGCTGGATGGCCAACTGTCAGAGGTGCTTCGAGTGCAATTTTCCTTTTTCTTAGCAGGGGATTGGACTGGATGGCCCATGAGGTCTCTTCCAATTCTATGATTCTATGAGGATTGTATGTTTCTATGTATGTATATGTATGTGTGTATGTTTAAAAACTTTCAAAAAATACTGTGGGATCATAAGAGCTATGGTTGTACAAAGTCTTTTAAGTCTTCTGTATTGACAGTGTTGGTGTGTGTCACCATACTACAACTCCCTGGATTCCCTAACACTGAACCATGTCAATTAAAGCCACACAAAACTGCATTCATTCTAAAGTATAGATGCACCCTTATTGAAATGATAATTTGCCTTAGCATGATTATAGTTGTCAAAATACAATATTTTTCATATATTGTCATAGGGACTCATTCTATGAAGTCAGATCATCCATTCATCTAGTTTAATATTCTCCACATTATACAAACATACAAATAATGTGGGTTAGTGATAGAACCTTCACCATTTTGAATTTACAAATCTCTGCAAGTTATGCACTTAGATACTCTTAAGACATTTAGAAGAGACACAAATAAAATATATTTGTGGAAAGAGAAACATGATTTTGTTGGCTAGGCTCAGGAAATTGCAGCTGGAGATCTCTTTCACCCAGACATATGTGTCAAGAAATGCAATACATTTTGAAATCAGAAAGGATCCCCATAGAAAGGAAAACGTCTGTATGGTTGTTGTTGGCTAATAGCCTATTTACAAATAGTCCTTATGTACGTAGAACAAAAAAAAAGGGAAGTTTCCACATATGCAGTTTCACTAGTACAATAACATTCAACAATTTGTCTTAGGCCTGCAGTCCTATATCCCACTTATTCAGAAGTAAGCTCCCACTGTATTCACGTGAGCATATTTTACAGTAGGTTTCTTTAGAAATATAGAATCCTAGGGCTGAAAGGGCCACACACACTCACATACACCAAAGAGTATTTTACATTTTATTATGAGTACCATTTGACTCTTTTTCACAGTGGAGGTGACTTCACTCTATATCTCCTATTTTATATTGTCTAATTACAGTATACCATCCATCTCAGCCTGGTTAATATCTGTGTGAACAATCACCAAGGGATATCACGTGCCTCTACATAACAACTATGACAAAAAAATCTTGCACGAAATCTTTGGATCTAGGCTAAAAGACTGCATCTTATACAAGCCAAGCTAAGTTCTCGGATCCTTGGAAGAAAATATTTCTCAGACATTGTTCCCAGAGTTTTAAGGTGCTACCCTTGCTTCCCCATTCATCTTGCAAGAAAGGGTTTTTTATTTAGACTAGTGGAGCTGCGGTGGCACAGTTGCTGTACTGGCTGAACTGCTAACCTGAAGGTCTGTGGTTCAAATCCGCAAGATGGGGTGAGTTCCCATATGCCAGCTCCAGCTTCCCATGCGGGGACATGAGAGAACCCTCCCACAGGATGGTAACACATCCAGCCGCCCCATGGGCAACGTCTCTGCAGATATCCAATTCTTTCATACCAGAAGTGTCTTGCAATTTCTCAAGTCACTTCTGACATGATAAAAAAAAATAGACTAGTTTTCATGGTTTGCTGTTCTCCTTCTTCCCCTGCAAATTTATAAAGCTTTTAAAATATATTTAACTTGGTGCCATTTTAACACAAACATTTACTTAAATAGAGGGGGGAAATCCAAAAAGCAACCCTTACTTTTGCCATTTTACACAAGGGATGTTATTTTACCATGCCATTGTATATAATGGGACTTAAGAATCCACTGAGCTTGGTATCCCCAGCAGATACCAAGGGCAAAAAGTTATTTTGGGTGTTTGAAGGAGATACAATATGAAGTTGCAACTGTCTCGGTTAAAGCTCATTATTGTGATTATTATGTTTATTTACGGCCCACTTTTTCTCTCCACAGAGAGACAGGAAAACAGCTTACATTAAAAGCATTTCAATACAATTTAAAATCTACAAATATGCAAACATTAAAACAGAATTAAATATCAATGGTATTTAAAAAAATCTAGACTTCAAACCCATAAAAACAGATTCAAAGCTAGAAAACCATAGCACTTCCTGACTTCATGAACCCCACTCAGATCCCAACTGCATATTGTTGGAAATTACAACCTTCACCAAGCCTTCTCTATTAATGTTTATCTATGATCCTGTTGTTTACTGTTTCCTGTAGGTGTGTAGGTATGCAGATTCCTTTACTCTATGGTTTCTGAGAAGTTATAAAAGGGGTTGCAGACCACATGTGCTCTGTGTGTGTGTGTGTGTGTGCTGTTTTTAAGCACTGGCAAATCTCTGTTTTCCTGACAGATCGGAGATTGTTGGTTATTCAGTCTAACAACTGATACCATTGCCTAGCATAATTACATTTGGTTGTATACTACAAGAGGAGATTCTGCTCTAAAGGGGTTGTTTTGGCTCTTCTCTAAAAGGTCATGTTCTTTAAAAATTGCATATGTTGACTATAATTTTAAAATGTGTATTGTGTAGACAGTGTAGATTTTCTAGCAGTGGCTCTCCCCTACCTGAAGAGCTAGGATTGGTTCACAGCTCCCTGCATTACTACACCCAATCACTGTCCATACGAACTATAAAATGCTGGAAAGTGAATTCCAAAATGTAACTTTCCCAAATGAAAAAGAATCTTCTCTGTTTTGGGCAAAACATCCATTAAGAAATGCAGGCCTGCCATTGTTCAGAAAATAAGCAGAAATTGTCTTGCTGGCTTTACAACATACAATATGGAACATTTGCTGCTAGGCTATAGGCGAGTGAACTGTATTTATTTGAGATCCATAACTTCCGCGTAAACCCAAAGACGAGTTATCAGGAGTTTGTCTTTGAGTCAAAGTCCCAATATACTATGCTGCAAAGTGTATTATGACATTTGAGGAATGAAACTTACCCATGTTTCAAAGCAACTTTAATGAAGCCTTTCCTTTTGAGGATATTAAGAGTGAGGCTTTCAGGACGGGCATCCAAAGACTCTTCTGCACCTCCAATTACAATCACAGCAACATTTCCACCCTTTTCATGGCTCAGCACATGAGATACACTCTTCTTGGATGCTGAAACCAGTCCTGAAAGTGTAACAAGACTTATAAGCAAAGCTAGCGTCCCTGTCTGTGTTCCCTCCAATGTGCTGGATTACAACAGGAATTAGCAACTTCAGTAAATTGTGGGGCCAGTGTTCAAGCCCCAATGCTGGCTGGAGGTCTTGCTAAGTCCAGAAATGATCAAAACCCTAAAACAAAATTAGAATCAGAAGTGCCTCTATGACACCCTTCCCCACAGAAATTGTATGTTCTGGAGCTCTCCAGGAGTGGGAAAGCCAGTTTTGGAGATGGGGAATTGACCTGGTAAGGACACTACAGGATCTCTATGGTGACTGAAGTCCTCCAAACAAAATTTTTGTGGCATTTTACAAATGCCAACCTACAACCATGCTGATGAGATATGATGAAAAATTTTGGGCTAGCTGTCTTAAAAGAAAGATACTGTTAAGGTGATCCAATTTGACTTACCGGCTGACATAATATAATCTCTAAAAAAGGGGCATCGAAACCAGAAAGGCAAGATGTGGAGGTACGGAGTCAGGCCAGGGAACAACTTCTGAAATCCTGTGTACTCTGTGCAGAAGTTTCCAAAGGCTCCTGCCACAAGGACACCGTGAGGATGGAATCCAAAAAGGTAATTTTGACTTGGATCCAAATCAGAGGATTTTATTAGCTGAAATGAACACAATGACATTTGTTTGAAAAAAGATTGGGGGGGGGGGGGGTTCTTGCTGAGTACTAACTCAAAGCACCTCAACTCCATAATGTTGTGCTTGCACAATACATATTTTTACTCAGAAGTTCAAACCAATTCTGTTGAAAAGAATTTCCTTCAGTGCAAATGCATAGTATTGCATCCTAAATATGAATAGCATCATAAATATGAAGAAACATACACAAGTCTGTGGTTTTCATAAGAATTTCACAGACCTGTGTATGTTTCTTGAGAAACACCATAATCATTGTCAGTGAGTTTATTTATTTATTTATCATGTCAGAAGCAAATAAAGGGTATAGTTATAATTTATTTAAAACCACAAGCAAAGTTAAAAACTTGGCATTATACTAAATGTCCTTTGACCAGAAGCTAGCCTCTTGGAGTGCCTCTAGTGTCATTGTGAGAAGATTCTCTATTGTGCATGTGGCAGGGTTCAGGTTGCATTATTGCAGTAGGTAGTCTGTGGTTTGCTCTTCTCCACACTCACATGTTGTGGACTCCTCTTTGTAGCCCCATTTCTTAAGATTGGCTCTGCCAGAGCACAGTCTGTTTAGCACCTTCTGTGTGCACAGGAGGGAGTCTCTCATTTGGTATCAGCCATGGATTGAGGTTCCAGGTTTTAGCCTGCCACTTTTGGACTCTCGCTCACTGAGGTGTTCCTGCGAGTATCTCTGTAGATCTTAGGATGCTATTTCTTAATTTAAGGCATTGGCTTGCTGGCTGATATCTGAACAGATATTGGCACAATATTGACAACTGCAAGGCCAATGGTAAATAAAATGAAGTTTTTATTTCCAAAACATCTGGGCAGCTAATGTTCACCTCCTCTGTTTTAAGATAATAAATCCAGGCTTCTCGTCACCTATCCTTACCAGAAGTTCTAACAAATATATTCCCTGTAAGGTTGCGTTCTCATTTAAAGCAAGTGGTTTGAGAGCACAATATTCTTCATGCTATTGGCCCAGACTGGAGCATGTAAAAGTTTCTTTCTGGACCATAACACCTAGACAGGTTGTCAAATAGTTGAGATACTGGAATGTTTCCAAAAGTAATGCATATATCTTAACTTAACTTAGCTTAACTAGGAATACCATCCAGGATAAATTGCACATTTTTTTCAACTGTACATTTGAGACGTATACCGAACTGAAAAAAATCATACCCATTTAAGTTGTCATGGAACAGAATGAATTTAGATTTTGAGAGGTCAGTTTCCTAATTAGTGATACTCACTGTGTTTGGGATTTTTGCTTACTCACATGAATTGGAAAGTAGTCCTTGAAATACCTCCACACAGTCCAGTTTCGGACCCACTGAGATCTTCTCCCTCCAGTCTGAGGTGTTTCCCAGTCAAGATAGAGCCAGAGTGCATAGAATGCTGATATAAACCAGTAATCTCCAAAAACGATAATCATAAAGATTGCACAGCAACATTGTGCTAAATAGAAAAGAAAGACAGAAAACAGCATTACAAATCTCCACTCACAATTAAATCTCAATAGTAGTTTTATTCTCCTTTCTTGTTGTAGGTGATTCCCTCCACGGCCCAAGTTCAACCACTGAGACTGCATATAGAAGTTTTCCCAGTGCTAACTCTAACGTCTGGAACTTGCTTCCCTTAGAGATTTAGAAAAAAACCAAAACTATATGTACTAAAATGTTGTAAGATTTTTCCACTAATGTAGACAAGGGTTTGTGTGAGTGAGTGCTTTTAAGACACTGTGAGCAGTCAATGACATTTAAAATATTCTATATTGCTAAGCCAGAAATTAGCAACTTGTCATAGAATGTACCTACTTACTGCTGACAATCTCATCAGTGATCAGTTTATTCTGCCAACTAATTTCAGAAACAATATGTTGAGGTGGCGACACTGGAGCTTCCAATCTGACTCCATGTGCCGACAGGACTGAAGAAACCCTTGTGCCGACAGGACTGAAGAATGACAGGTTGGAGGTTCAAACCTGAGGAGAACGTGGATGAGCTCCCTCTGTCAACTCCAGCTCCCCATGTGAGGACATGACAGAAGCCTCCCACAAGGATGGTAAAACATCAAAACATTTGGGTATCCCCTAGGCAACATCCTTCCAGACAGCCAATTGTCTCACACCAGAAGTGACTTGCAATTTCTCAAGTTGCTCCTGACACCAAAAAGAAAAAGATCCTACTGATAGCTATTCCACCATGCTTTTAAAATGACTCAGATTCTATATGAAGCTCTAAATGACATTTTCTTTTCTTCAAAATATCATAATTCTGCAAACCATTCAAATCAAGAATATTTGCTAGTTTTACATTATTTGAAGTGTGTGGAGGAGGGTTGCACTGATGAAAGGACTAACAGAAATAATACGAACGACAGATAAAGAAGATGATAACTCAATGACTTTTCCCCAATAGGAACATACTTTGGGATAGGAACATACTTTGAAGTTTAAATCTGAAATCTGCCCAAGATTTGCGAGCAATCAGAACTTCATATGAACATCTGGAATCCTCTCCTTCCTTATTTCAACTCAGTGCTGTGAATCACAACAACTTCAACATCAAATCAGATTTTTCCCCATTCCCTTCAATCCCCAAACATTTAATATCTCCCTGATAATACGTAGGATATACAGCTCTGCATTCTGTTCTTTTTTAACTGGTTGGTGCTAATGTGGATTTTGGAAGAGAATGGAAACTTGTATTTCTTTCACAGGGTAGTCAACTCCAACAGGGTCAGAGCTTGCTCGGCAATCCCATGTATGTGCAAAACATACAAAAACTCAGGTTGCAATCACTTCAGAAAAGATCACAGCCCTAATCAAGTTTTGCTTTCCCTCCAGCTTTTAATCGTATATCAAAACCCCTTTAAAAGTATCCTGGAGTTAATTTGTCTTCATAGTGAGATGGCTGTATTGCGTTTGTGGCACAATGAGTTCCTGGCATGAAGATGACTCAACAGAGTGTCACTTGGTTTGACAAAATTACCACCCTTTTCAGCTCCTTGGCAGGCTTCCATGACTCAATACCAATATGACCTCAAGGCATGTAAGCAACACAATGCAGGCATGACTAGTGCCTCAGCAGACTATTCAAAAGAACTCCGCAATCAGATGGCAAGACAAGGTTATGGGTTTTATTTTAACTCACCTCTCCTGCCTCACTAATGTAAAGGCAAGTGAATTCCAAATGGCTAAGCTCCAAGTGCAGTCAGGCACCCACACCCAACAGCGTCTGTCTGAATTAAGCAAAATTGCCAAGTGAACTCATGACTCCAAGGGATCAACAAGAATCACTCAGGAGATTTCTTAAGTGACTTTGAAAAATCAACAGCAAGTTAATGACCTAACTGTGTAAACCTTGGATTACAGAAGAATCTTGGTGAAAAGTGACAGCCCGGTTAGCAATACAGACCACTTTGTCTGTCACTCCCTGCAATCAAACCAAAGACAAAAGATTGAGTTGTTACAACACCCAGGACTCCCCAGTGAGTTTTCTCCCCTTCTCTAGCCAGGTTGACACATCCTGCTATTTGCGTATTTACCTAAATGTCTGAATAGGGCTCTGAATACAAGGCCTGACCTATAGCTTCAGGTTGTTGTTGTTTTTTCATGTCAGGAGCGACAAGTTGCTTCTGGTATGAGATAATTGGCTGTTTGCAAGGACATTACCCAGGGGATGCCTGGATGTTTTGATGTTTTACCTTCCTTGTGGGAGGCTTCTCTTATGTCCCCGCATGGGGAGCTAGAGCGAACAGAGGGAGCTCATCTGTGCTCTCCCCAGATTCGAACCTCTGACCTGTCAGTCTTCAATCCTGCCGGCACAAGGGTTTAACCCATTGTACTACTAGGGACTTCAGTTAGGAACTGTTCATCTGTTTGCGTGTCTGTTTTAAAAACCCCAATTTATCATTCTAAATTTACACTTTATCTTTATTGTCTTTTAATTTTTGCTCCTAATAGAATATGTTGTAATATATGCTTTTTATGGAATGTATTTTAGTATTATGATGTATTTTAACTATGTTGTGCCCTGCTTTGAGCCGTAAGAAGAGGAAGGTAATAAATTAAAAATATATAATCATCATCATCATCATCATCATCATCATCATCATCATCATCATGTATGCATATATGCCTTCTAGTCGCCTCTCAACTTATGGTGACCCCATTAATTTCATAGGACTAGTCATAGTTAAATAGACTGTGAACAACTTGATAAAGACTATTCTCATTTTTGTGGCATGTCTCCCATATCTATGGATATTACATAGTGAACCCTATTGAAATGAAGGACCTCTGGTCCAATAATCCTATAGAATCATCCTTAAGAACCTAGAAAATGCTTGGAAAGGACTTATTTTCTCAGACATGGATAAATGAATCTGCAGATACTTGTCCCACTGATATGGCATTGTACTGTATTTAAGTATCTTGTGAGATGTCTGATTCTATGCTGCAAATATAATTTCTAAGCAGAAGAAACATAACATCACAAACGTGGAAAGCAGACAGTTTATCTGTGTGTGGTTTCAACATGAATGAAAAATTGACAAGTGTATCTCCTCTTCCTGTCAAACCTTGCGGCTCTCAGAGGCTGGGGCTGAACAAAAACACTTGGCTGCCTGAGGTAGAGTAGCAAATTAATGCCCTGTAGCTGCTTCTTCCTAATGGTTGGGCTGGCCCTAGGATAGGCAGCTAGAGTTTGCAACAGCAGAGCTTGTATATCCTTTAAAACAGCGTTTCTCAAACTGGCTGGACGGATCGTGAGGGTGTGTTAGAGGGGCGTCAAAGACCATCAGAAAACACAATCATTTTCTGTTGGTCATGGGGGGTTCTGTGTGGGAAGTTTGGCCCAGTTCTATCATTGGTGGGGTTCAGAATGCTCTTTGATTGTAGGTGAACTATAAATACCAGCAACTACAACTCCGGAATGTCAAGGCCTATTTTCCCCAAAATCCACCAGTTTTCACATTTGGGCATACTGAGTATTTGTGCCACATTTGGTCCATCATTATTTGAGTCCACAGTGCTCTCTAGATGTAGGTGAACTACAACTCCAAAACTCAAATTCAATGTCCACCAAATCCTTCCAGTATTTTCTGTTGGTCATGGAGTTCTGTGTGCTAAGTCTGGTTCAATTCCATCGTTGGTGGAGTTCAGAATGCTCTTTGATTGTAGGTTAGCTATAAATCCCAATGGCTACAACTCCAAAATGACAAAATCAATTCCCCTCCCAACCTCACCAATATTCAAATTTGGGCATATTGTGTATTTGTGCCAAATTTGGTCCAGTGAATAAAAATACATCCTGCATATCAGATATTTGCATTACAATTCATAACAGTAGCAAAATTACTGTTATGAAGTAGCAATGAAAATAATATTATGCTTGGGGGTCAACACAACATGTGGAACTGTATTAAGGAGTCACGGCATTAGGATGGTTGAGAACCAGTGCTTTAAAAGTTCTTCTCTGTGACCAATAACAGCTCAAAGCTCCTGAATTCAACAAAGTGCCATCTTTGAACTTCTGACTTGTAGTTCATCTGTCATGCTTTTCCTCTAGCTTTTGCCAAAGGGTATCCGCCCAAAGAAGAACAGACAACTGTGGCAGTTGTTCTCTTATTTATCATTTGTTCAAATCAAGGGTATTTTATCTTGGATAAAGATGAGTGTAACTTTATGGGAAACAGAGCTCAGTAAGAACAGATGAAAGGACTGTAATCTTTCCTCATTGCTGCTCAAGTCATGCAAAAGTTTCTGCACATGAATGGAGGAAAGGCCTTTCCAAACCTAATGGAACTGTAGGGGGAAAAAGATACAAGGGAGGAAATTGTTGCAAACAGTTGGAGAAAGGAGATTAATCTTTGGCATGGTGTGTCCTCTCAGCTTGCCTGCTCCTTTTGTCAGTTAAGTGAGGCAACTTTCCACCATGCCATCCAACACTTTGCCAGACCCAATACTCTTCATTATTCAGTTTTGGAGCTACAACACTGGGCAACTCTTTTCTGTCTAATCCAATTAGTGTCATGTTTTACTTTTCAGGTCAAATTAAATGAAGAGGGATTAGCTCACTTTAGCACTTTAACTTTGCAAAGAACACTTCTGGGATAGGCTTCTTTGCCATTTTAGAAATACTGAATAAAGCAATACCTTTAGAAACCTAAATACAGCCTCTGTAATTCCCTTAAAACATTAATTAGATGCATGTTTTGGAGTTTAAAGATATGTGCATCAATTAATTAAAAACAAACAGCTTGGTCTAATCAATTTTCCTAACAATAGGGGGGAATCTGGTTTTTAATTTTCACAATTATTCACTTTGCACATGTGCGTGTTCTGTGTGAATCCGTACTATGTAGGTCTGAGATATACAGGAATGTTTGAGGGACTATACAGCTTAATGCGGATCTTGGAAGTTTCTTGTCAGGAGGAGTTTCAACTCCTGGAA